TCATAGCTATGCAAAAAACCTACTCCAGGCTCCAGACTGAAGACTACTATTCCAGGCCAGATGAGCTAATCTGGTCCTAGGTAGGCTTCTCCAGAATCACTACAGGAAGCTCAAGATCACTCTAACTCCATAAAATGTTACAAAACAAAAGCTCTTTTGTTCACTTACAGAAAAAATCATCACGACAGTTACTTGTAAAGTTGCATCTTTTATACTTAATATAACAGAGTTATATTTATCGAGCTTTCCACTTAAACATTACATATTTAAAGAAGCAGTACAGATTTCCATACATCTTAAACATTACATATTCTATTGCATTCTCTATTTTCAGATTTCCTGAACTTCAGGCAAGGGTCATGTCAGAATTTTCATCACTTCACTGCTGCAAAAATGCCTAAAAATATCTATTACAGATGAACATATGTTCTCACTTATCGAAATTCAGATGATGATGCTAAAGCACAGAGCAACAAAAAACAGAGGAAAATAAATGAACGGTGCTCAATACACATAGTAATAAGGTTGCCCTAATTCGGAAAGTGTTCACATGAGCACGACATATAGCAAGCTGGCTACAGCTGCGACAATAACACAGAAAGACAAACCAAATCTTAAAACCTACATTAAGCTAGGCTTAGCAATTCGTTGCCCGGTCATACAATCTTTTCTTCCTGGTTAAACATGGCTAATGGGACAACATGGTTTACTGTTAGCGACTTCCTGAAGCTAACAGTGACCACATCCAGAGTTACAGACATAGAACATATGCATGCTTCAGTGACACATTTGCAAAATGTGAGCTCCTGGAAGCACCAAAAGTCGAAAACCTCATCGCCTATGAATATCACTGCCATTTCCAGCAAGAATGTAGCCAGCTGAATGACTTCACATAATTATTCCAACATCAAATTAGTGAAACCACCGCCCCTACTTATCAGGAACCTTTTGGATGCTATTTGCCCTGTAAAGAATAAGAAAACAACATTAGCAAAATTGTAGAAAGGACATCGACATTTTTTCAAGGTTGCTTACTTTACCTCTTCTTCTTTTGGTTCACTGTTTGCTCTGAACCCCTTTTCAATCTCTTACCACTCCCTTTTGTGTTTGCTACATCTGGTGGATGAATACTGATCACACTTGGGAATGATGTTTCGACGAAGGATTCAAATTCTTGAACTTTACTTTGCTCACTAATGGCACCCATCTGTTCCAATTGCGTGAAGGCATCACCAACAACCTTGTGAAAATATCTCATTTTCTCCTCACAATGTTTCGCTGCATGAAGTGCCAAGCTAAATTTTGAACATGTTTCCGAGTACAACTTTTTTATGGTAGGTGAAAGACATGTAGATGGGCCTTCTAGCTCATGTCCGTTGGCGTCATAGGAAAGCTGACGTGCTGCCATTTTAGTCCACCTATGCAACACATATTGACTAGGAATTTCATTACACTAAGCTGACGTGCAGCCCACATTTTCCGGACCCCCCGTCTCTACACTAAGCAAGCGATATGCTGCAGATGTGCCAACCATTGCTTTATGACATGTAAGTAGTTTGCTCCTCAACTCACTACTTACTTCCCTATTTGACTTGATGAGATGTCTCTTACTTGGCGAAATAAGTTGGTGAATGTGTGATTGAACAAACCGGGCAACCTTATATTTGCCATCATCCTGCCTCCTCAGTCCAATCATAGCCTCACAACCACACCTGGTTAACTTGAATTTTCGTTTAGGTTTTATCCTTTCCTCTTCTGGGGCCTCCTTTCTCCAACCCTCCCTAGCACAAACAAACCTCTTCCACAGTATGCCATGTGCATCTTTGTGTGTCGTCCATGTGCGAACCGAGAACCCGACTTCATGAGCATACATTTTGTAGAATGTCATACCTTCCTCCCAAGTGTCAAATTGCATACCAATTACGGGCTGTAAGTTAGGATCACACTCCGGCTCATATCTTGACCCCTGGATATGCAAAATAAAAAGATGTGCGGTTCATAAACTACAGCTCATGCATTGGATGTGCGAAAAAAAACTACTATACTTACACAAAACGGAAGACTGTTAGTTCGTGTTGGCGTGTGGTAGCTATTTTCATTGTTTTCGACCTGCTGGATCGTGCCCTAGAAATTTCAGAAAAAATCATCAGGTGACAGAAACTGTGCGACGTACGTATGTGACCAATACAACAAATGAATTACCATGGCAAAGCTGTTGGCATCATCTTCAACTCCCATTGCCGTAGTTGACCCAATACTTAGAGCACCACTTGTCATGGACTCCATGGCTGACTATTTTTCATGCAAATATAACACAAAACATCACACGCAGGTTAAAAAGTGGATAATTAACCTCGTACCAGGCAAAACACATCAATACTTTTTACTTAAGAGCATAGGTACAATGTGGACATCAGCAAAACAAAATGAGGAACATGAACAACTAGGATTACCATAGAAAGTTTAATTGAACATTGCAAATGCCGTTCCCATTTCATATCAGCAATGTGGAAGAAGTTCATATAGTACATTACTAGTTCATGTACAAGAACCCCGTAGGAACAACCAGTAACTAACCCACTCTTGCCATGTAGTAGGCTCCTAGGAAGTCATTTATTTCACATACATGCCGAGTTGTCCACCTTACTATCAAGTTAGCAAAGGTATAAAAAAAATTGTATACAAAGGAACAGAACACACAGAGCACATCCCCCTCAACTATTTGCACCGGCTGTTGTGATTACTACTAGAATTTCACCAACATCCAACGGATCAATTTTGTGCCCATACTATTCATATTCCCAAATGCCATTGGCTTCAAACACATGGAAACTGAATGGCCTGGAGGAAGCAAATATACTGTACATGGATAACAGAACAACCAAATTCGATGCTCATACCTTGGATCCTGAGCTATAAAGGACGATAGCTAGGTACTATTCAACTGCACAGCTGCACAAACCTTACTTTAGAGTTTGCATCAATATGGTTTTTCTATACTACAAAATACATATTAAGGTTCAGAACACTAGTTATTCAACTTTGCATAGGCTATTTTGCAGTACAATATCTGCAGTCGTGTATCTCATACAGAAATCAGGTGCTCATACTACTTATTCAAGTCGCAATGATACTAGTTTGGAATAAATTGGGGAAATCCCAAAGGGGAAGAACCCAATATGACCATGATAAATGGATAATGGGATAAGAGAATATACCCTAAAATCCTCGAGGCGCAGAAGATAGCTGACTCCTTTGGGCAGTTCCTCTTCGCCCCCAGGAGCTACAGCACAACTCCTCTACATTTACGTGCTCGCCGGCGGCAATGGCGTCTTCGTCGGGCGCGACTCAGAGGAGAGGAGGGGAGCTCGTCCTTCAACGGCGCCGGAACTAGGTCCAAGATAGAAGTCGGAGAAAGTCCAGGAGAGGGGGCGAGAGAGGCGACGGAGCAGACTTCCCGAACCCTAGCGCGCAGCTGGACGGCCTGGTACAGAGTATGGCAAGGGGAGGAAGACGATGTGGGTACAGAGAGGTCAGATCGCTGGATTTAGCTGTAATGCAAGGACTATTTTGCAAATGTACCGACAGCCCATCATCACACTGAATCCTGTCCCTTTCTTTCAAATCCAACGGCCCATACATAGCTGGTGCATCTGGTGCACCAGTTTAGTCGTTTCACCAGATACGTTTTTTTTTTTGAGAAAAACCAGATACGTTCTCGGGGGGTGGAGAGATGAAATTTTGTGGGCCTAGAGAAAGAAGATGAACAGTGTCACTATTGTGAGAAGAGAGGCCACTAATTTTTTTCCGAGAGCATGCAAACTGTGTGCCTTAGCTTCATAGAAGGCAGATGATAAGAAACAAGAAAAACAAACAAGCTCCCACGACAACCCTGAGAGGCGCAAAATCCTACTCAAACTCGAACACACAATACAACCACAACACGTAGGAGTATGCTCTAAACTTAACAGCAAAGCCGCGTCTCGACCATCTCCAAGAAATAACAACTTCAAAAGAATTATCCTTCCCGACGCACCCACGCTTTGAAGGCATGGCCAATGCATAGCCCCAGGGTGATGCCCCACATGCCATATAGGATCGGATGACAGAAAAAGTAGGTTCGGATGGGGGAGCAGGATCCTCTCCAGAAGACGAGTGCTTAGAGAGAAAAATGTGGTCCGATGCATAAAGTTGGAAAAAGTTGAAGCGAAGAGGAGGGATGCATGTGTAATGAGAGTCACTTTTTATTTTTTTTGATAAGGCCCACTAGTAGTAGCTTGCATTGGGGAGAAAAAATCAACATATATGCCTCAAAAAATTTTTTTATCATGAAGCATCTATATCCATATGCCACCATTGTACATGCCCTGAGTGCCTAAAAGAGAGGCCACTTTTGCGTGTTGTCCTAATGAAATTGACTGAAACTTTTTTTTAATCACCCGACACGTTGGCACTTGGCAGTACCGATTGATTTCCGTGAGAAGGGAAGGATCCATGGCGGCATCACCATGAAGACGGGATGCGATCTCTCAGTCGCGTCACCGCCAGATCGTCCCCGTGTCACGCCTGTACGACGACGCCATGCGCAGATTTTGCTCCATGGCTGCAGCCTGCAGACGAGACGTCAGCAGCAAGAGCGGGAGACGGAAAGCTACTCAAGAACAGCGTTAAATCAGCAGCCACCCAACACTCACGCCTTCCACCCGCCCAATAATCATCATAAGCAATGGTACGATGCCAAGAGCACCCATCCCCGATAGCCCAATATCAAAAGCCATTTTCTCAGGCATTTCATGTGGACTGCCCTTTTTCTTCCACTTCTATAATGCCGTTGTGAGAAATCTCACCATGTTTACAGCAAAATGGAAAAACGATGCTGACAGACATCACCAGGAACCGGTCTATATCGGGTTTACATTACGGTGCTGCACGGTTCTCCACCGGTTTGGTTTCTCGAGCCTGTGCTCCGATTTCCGGATCACCCAAGGCCCTGCTGCCGCCTACCGGATGGTAATGACAAGATTCCTGTCGACGAACTTGGCGCCACCGACCTTCCCCTGCATCGCCGGTGGCAGCTTAATTACGCGCCTCTGGTCGCCGGCTTCGATCAGTAGCTCCGAACCGCCCCTATACTGCATTTTCAGATAAAGGAACAGGTCGGTTTATTATCAGCAACAACACAGACAATACAAATTTAACTTGGTGATCATATACTCTTGCAAAAATCTGGAAGGGTTCTTCGCCACTATTTGGCAAAATTCTCGGATGACATGCAGGCCACTGACTGTAAGATCACAAGTAGCTACATGGCTTTGACCTAAACTAGTGTACATGAAAACCTAGTTTTTTTTGGCATCATGTTGTTTAGAAGCTTCTTCTGTGCTGCAGTCAAGGATGCCAAATTCATTTGAAATCATCTCACAGTTTGTATGGAGAAGTCGACAGACAATTACGGGAATCAGCACACACAGGGAAATGTGCTTCAGTTTTAATATCAGCACAATCGATTTGCGGAACTGGTGAGAAACAGTTGGCTTGGCTGCAAGTGGCATGCACCAAACGAACTAGAACTGCTTAAAGCTTGATTTCAAACTGAAAACAATCTAGAAAAGTATGATAGAGGCCCTTCCATTGTTTTAGTGAAAACTCATTTGATGTCACTTGCTAGGGAAACTGCGCATTAATCTGAACATTATCAGGTAGTTCACCACCCAAGTGAGAATTTTCAAGTTGATGGTGGGATTCTACCTTTCTGGTTAAAAATTTTTATCACTTGGGCGCTAACTAAAAGTGAAACTAACTAGAGATAGCTTCACAGTCGAAATCAATTCAGCATTATCTCTAAACAACTAAAGAAGAGAAACTAACTAGAGATATAGGTCTTGTTAGTCTTGACTGTGTATACAGTGAAGCCAACAAAGAGTGAGGTCAGTAGCTATACCTGATATAGTTTGATTTCAGACTTGTCAAATCCTGGCATGAAAAGGGTCACCGACTTCTGTGCAGAATCAAAACTAACTGAAGGATAAACCTTGCTTGCATTCCTCAACAGCCCCTTTGTATTTTGATTCAATGAATTTAACGCTCTGCCCCAATCCGCAGAAGAATCAGTTGGTACAAATGGCAGAGACGAGAAAGACAATGGCAAAAACTTCTCAGCAACTCCTTGGTGCATTTCAGAAGGGTCTTCAGCATAACCAAATGCTCCACATATTTGCGCGCCAGCTTGGATGGTGCAACCCCAGTATCTTAGCGCAGAGGACACCGAGATTGATCCTCTCGGGTCCATGACGAGGAAGCACGCAAGTTTTGAGGGATCAGCAAACCAAAGCGAGATTTTCTACAAAATTTAGCATCTCAATCTTTTATATTCAGCTCATATTTGAATATGCATCCACTGGGTAAAACAGTTTTTCTTTATTAACTCCAGATAATTTACCTCAAGAAGTTGTTCGATTTCATTCCATATCTCTGCACTCATTCTTACTTCACCAGTTCTACCACTTGGTCTCGCGGCATCATAAATCAGTTTCAGTAACGATGGCGACGCCAGTCTTCCTATGTCAGTCTTCTCTGCTAGCTCCCTCACATACTTCAAGTAAGATCTGTCTTTTGTGTAGCAGCAACATTAAAATGCAGGGTCCTGAGTGAATGCAAGGCTATAGACAAACAAGGATAACCTATACCTTGCCCTCTCAGTAGCACCAGTGAGCCGTAGAAATTCCTCTGTATTATTGCAGTCATACACTACGACATCAAATTCCCCCTGTGGACTATTCGTTCCAACTGAAAAGAAGTTGAGCAGCTTCTGAAGAGACAAGACTGAGCAGATCGAATCCATTCCAGGTAAGACTCCAAGTTCCTCCCCTACAATCTATCCTATGAAAAAGAGCAACCCAGATGACTGCTTTATCCTCATCTCCCATATTATAGCAAAGTTAATCACCTACCCCCTCAAGAACTCCTTGAGTGAGATTGCTCTGGGCATCTACTTTCTTCAACCGGTCAAGGGGCTCAAGTAGCATCTGTGATTTAATCAGAAAACATTTTTCAGCATCAAGGCATTTTCCGATGTCATAAAAGTTCAATATGAAACATCAAAAGGAGATCACTTCACAAAGGTATTTTACTTTACTGGTCTCAAGCTTAATGGTCGAAAGATTAGCAGCACATTCTGTGAGCGAGTTCCCGATCTTACAGCCCATCAATTGCTCTGCTGTCGGGTCTTGTGACTGTATAACCAGGCATGTCTTCAGGCCTTCACTTGCATAATACTGCAACATGGAGAAAAACAAAGTGCCTGAAAATGTTTGCAATGGCGTTTTAACGACTTGTCATACTTTAGAGTGGCATTTTTCTCAACTCAAAAGTGATTTTTTGTAGCTACATTTTTCAAACACGCAGATGTAAACTACCCAACTGAGTGCAATTTAAGGAAATTCTGTCATGAATCAACATTGTGGGAACTGTTAAGATGATGTGCAGTAGTATAACCCAATTGAATCTCGATACACCATTGGCTAAACGAACCACCTCGTAGATTTACCCTATCACATGCTACAGTTTACCCAGCTCAATGCTGGGAGCAGCCAAGCTGCTAAATCATACCCATCTTCTACTCTAAATAGTGTCTACTCGTAGTATACATTGCAGTCCAGCCTTGGCTTTCAGCAACAAATAGTTCTACAGTTTTCTATCAACATAACAGCAAAGACAAGCACTGGAGGATGGTAGTTTTTACCTGAGCGGCGATGGCGGCCGCCGTGGTCTTGCCGGAGCCTCCCTTGCCGAGGAAAGTCACCAGCTTCGGGGGAGCGCCGGCACCGCCGGAGTTGGCGATGACCAGACGCCGCCTACGGCCTCCCCGGCCGGCAACGGCGAGGATTTGGCTCGCCGAGACGAGCAACGAGGGCGCCATCCGCCGCCTCGGCGGCCCCCCTCACAATTCAGTTGGGATCCCGCCGGCGTCTGCTCGGCCTTGGTCTCCCTCTCCGTCGTCCAGCAGTCGGTTCAAGCTTAGCTAGCCGTGTCAGGAAAAAAAGGAGTTTGTATAAGCTCAGGATAGGGTTAACGGTTCAAGAACACACGAAAAAACCCACCTTGGCCACGTCTCCGGCCCATCCACCCCCACCCCACCCCACCCCCACCCCCGAGAGTCCCCGTCGCGGCGGCGCCCGAACCCGTCGAGGCGAGATGTCGGACCGCCGGGAGAAGCGGCCGTCAG